TGTAACTTGAAAAAGTTAATCAGTAACTGTTACAAATTGTTGGTTTGTAGTCACAATCAAGTAATCTTGCTTGTATCCCCAGCACCCAATATGGGATCTGGACTTTTACAGGAGCTCCATTCATGTTTGCTGAATAAACATAGCTCTGACTTCTGTACCCCTAATACTTCCAAGTTGTTGTTACGTGTCATTGAGTCAGTTCTGACTCATAGTGACCTTGTATAGGGTTGCTGGTGATTTTGAACTGCCAACCTTATGGTTAATAGTCCAGTGTTTATTCTACAGTGCTGCATCAGGACTCAGTATATATAGTCCTTTACCAAACCTCTCTGCTGCTCATCCCTCCTTCCCAACACTGCCAAACGCTCCAACAAAAATTTCTGTTGCCTAAACGGTAACAGAAGTCTGGGACCAATCCAACTAGAAGGGGTAGAACAGGAGACAATGGTCTCAGTATAGGCCCTAATCAATACCAATGATGAGATCAGAGTCCACCCCAAATCTCAAAGAGAAGTATTGCTGTCAGCTTATGCAGAGCTAACCTTTAGTGTTGTTGTTGTTAAGTGCCATTGAATCAGTTCCAACTCATAGCAACCTTGTACAGGATTTCCTAGGTGTGGCTGGTGACTTTGAACCATGGACCTTGTGGTTCAAACTGACCTTGCAGTCCAGTGCTTATCCTACAGTGTCACACCAGGTAACCTTTAGTGTAGCAAGGGGGAAACATCACAAAATCATTCTTTTAAGCATGATTAGACTTTTTTTTTATGTTTTATTGTGAATTATGTGATAGTTTACATGGGAGAGCATTAGTTTTACATTCATTCTATTGTATCGTCTCATTGCCATGGTTACAATCCTCTCCATGCATCATCAGCCAACCAAAGGGTATACCCTGCAAGCCTGTCCCCCACACCTCCCCCCCACCCCGGTATTCAGCAAACAGTCCCTCTCCCTCTCTGGATCTAAAGTCCCCAGCTACTCCATCGCTCCATGTCATCGTCTCTGCCTCCATTTCAGGCATCACTGCTTCTCTGGGTAGGGTCCCGCACTCCACTCTTCTCTGTTGATTGTCCTAGGGACCTCCACTCCTACACTGGAAAGTTAATCACTCTCCGCCTTGCTATCAAATGAGAATGATTAGACTTTTGACAGCTGCTTACATCACCCTCTTCAAACCCTGAACTAACAGTAAGCACACACAGACACAAAAGATGCTTATACACTGGGAACAAACAAGATGGCGGATCAGGTGGACGTGTAGTAAAGAGCTCCGCCAACAACAACACAAAATACCAGACCAAGCAGGCTCAGGGGATGGTCCCAGAACACTGAACAACATATAAAGGAATATTTAGAAGGTTGGAAGGCT